ATACTAGAATTTGGATCCTATTTAATCTTTTTTTTTTTTAATGCAGGCAATCCTCCAGTTGAAATGTAACATGAGGGCAGAATGGATATGTAAGGTTAGCCTCCTCCTCAGCCATGCTGACATCTTTCTGGTGAAAGTGTGGTGTTGACACACATTGTCTTGTTGCCTCCACCCAGGGAGTAAGCTCACTCCCAACTGGGCCTCACTGACACCAGGGGAGGGAAGGTGGGAAACTGGATGCCAACTAGCTCTACCTCCCACCACCTAGTCCTGCTTTGTTGAAGGTGGAAGCTTTGGTCCCCACTGAGCCTCAATGATACTGGGGAAGCGGAGGAGTGAAGCCTTGCAGTGACTGGCTCTGCCTCACAGTGCCTCATAGATTCTCGTTGCTGCCAGGTGGGTGTAGAGGCTCAGGTGGCTACTAGGCCTCACTGACACTTGTCTTGCAGGGGAATATAATTCCTGCCTAGATCCTCTGGGTGAAGGTTGGAAGATCAGACCCTGACTCATGTGTGCTGATTCTACCACAGCATGGGCATCATATTACTGCTGTCTGCTTCTGCCAGGCAAGGCCCCGCCAACATCATCTGGCAGGGCAATTGGAGCACTGTGGTCATGCCATTCCTCAAGTCCCGAGGTCCTTGGACAAATCCTTCTTTTCTGCCTTTCAACACTTGCTATGCTTGTCTGTTGTATTATATTCAGCCTTTCCAGTTGTAAGGGGGAGGACTCGGAGGAATGCAGCTACTTCATCTTGGCAGAACCCCATTGTATTTTAAACTGTGATCACAGTATCTCTAACAATTTATCGCACACTTATTTTCTCTTATGCAAATGACTTGAAGGCAAAAAAGTGTTTTCTTAAGTCTTTGTAATCCTAGTATTAGTATAATACTTAATGACCAGTAGCTGTTTCTTACATGGGTGACTGACTAAATGGATTTAACTGAGTACCTCTTGCTTAATGTGTACTTTCAATGAGAAAGAAAAATTATTTAGTCTCTAAAGAGAAAAATCAAAATTTGGACAAAGGAACTAGATACTAGATAAAACACATTACATATGTACATATACATCATTTGAAAAAAATTTTAGAAAAAAATTAACACACAAATACTAATCACACTTCTAATAATACTAACAATGTACACGTTGGAAATGAAATTCAAAAGATACTACCATTTACAAACACACCAAAGAAAATGAAATATTTATGGATAAATTTCACAAAATGTGCACCTGATTTGTATGCTGAGAACTACAAAATACTGATGAAGAAGTCAAAGAAAGAAATCCTAAATAAATGGAGAAGCTTACATGAAAACTTATATGGAGAGGAACAGGCCCTAGAACTGCTAAAAGAATCTTGAAAAAGAAGGATAAAGTGGGAGGGCTCACTCTAACTGACATTTAGTCCTACTATATAGCTACACTAACCAAGACAGTAAGAACACAAATCATCCAGTTATAAAATGGGCAGAAGACAAAAACAGACATTTCACTGAGAAGTATAGAAAGGTAAATCAGCACACAAAACTCCAGTATTAGCCATTAGGGATATGCAAATTGAAAATACAATGAGATAACATGATACACCAATGGTTACAATGAAAAACAGTAACCGTATCAAATGCTGCAAAGATGTGGAGAAACTGGGTTACTCACATACTGCAGGTGGGAATGTGGAATGGTATAGCCTCTCTGGAGAACAGGCAATTTCATATATGACTAGACATGCAGCTACTATAAACTCAAATTCATTCTAGGGCATTTATCCCAGATAAATGAAAACTCACGTTCACTAAAAATTTACATGAATATTCATAGAAGATTTATTTTCAATACCAAAACCTGGAAACAATACAGATGTCCTTCAAAGAGTAAATAAACACTGTAGTAATGTCCATACCATGGAACACTACTTAACAGTAAATAAGAACAAACTACAGACATGTACAACGACCTAGGATGGATTGCAAAGGAATTATGTTGAATGAAAAATCCAATTCCAAAAGGTTATATGCTGTAGGATTCCATTCATACAGCATTCTTGAATTGAAAAAAAAATCGATACAGAGAACAGATTATTGGTTGCCAGGGGTTTGAGATTGGGGTGGGGAGGCGGACGTGGACAATAGAAGGGATCCTTGAGGTGATGACATTTTTCTGTGTCTTGAATGTATCATTGTCAATATCCTGTTGTAAGTTTGTACTATAGTTTTGCAAAAATGATACCACCAAGAAGAACTGGCTAAAGGATTCATGGTATCGCTACATCATTTCTTGCAAAAAAATCTGAATCTACAAAATAAAACTTTAGTCCAAAATTAGGGAGCTAAACAACTTAGTATGATACCAGTTAGGGGGCATTAAAATGCTTACAAGTGCACCGGTGAGCTCTGCATATGAAACTATTAGAAGGGAATAACTCGGAAGAGAGGGATTAAAAAATTGGGAGTCAACAGTACAGGAACATTTTATTTTTTAGAAGTAAACTTATTCTTCTAAATGGCAATAAAGAAAAAGAAATAAAGGGTTACACAGCTCTCCTTCATTCACTTTTTTGTGTAAAAATAAAATTAACATTCAAGAAGAAAACGGAGTAAAAAAACCAGGTACTACAGAACAAAGAATTATGTGGTATTATTCTATCCAAAATAGCTCTTTATTACAGAAGGGAGTATGAAAGCTCTTGTGTGTTACCCAGACAGTAATCTCAGGCATTTCCATTATTTACACCATTTAATTGTCTATATTTAGGTGTAAATGCAAATTAACTGTACATGAAAAGGCTTGTTAAACCTTTTCATTGATAAGTTAATACCCAGAACACCTATCAGAAAGACTAGAACCTTTGAGTAGCAGCTAATATTTCCAAACGTCTAAAATTCTTTGTAAGTAGATTATTTAAAAACTAATGGTGATGGTTTTGTGGCCCGATAGCTAACAATGGGCCAAAATGTCAGTGACTCAACTACAGCCCTGAGCTCCCTTCACGTCAACACCAAGCCATCCTGTTCAAACCGCTGTTTATAATGCTCGCTTTCCAAACTGGAAAAGGGAGCCTTATCAACACTAGCATCAAATCATTTCGAATATTTGAATTGTAGTGACCAAAGTATCTTTTCCTGCAGTTTATCACTTTCCTTAGAACATCACTTGACATACAAAATTTTAAGGTGTTTGTCTTTCAGTTTCACCTTCCATTAAAATTGTAGGCACCTGAACATACGGCAAATGTCATTGTTTTTGAAATGTTTTGACCTTCACTGATTACTGCAACTATGAATTTAGGGACATTTTAGTGCAATTTCTCAGAGTATTGGATCCCAGTATATATTTGAACACATCAAAGAACTGCAACTTCAGTGCTTTAGAAACTCAGATTACTAACGTCAACACATCATTATTTTCCCATCAACAATAAATAATGAAATTAAGTGTTAGACTATGGACATTCAGCTCAATTCTAATCTCAGAAAAATGAGGATGTACATTTGCCTGTCTTGAAGAATCACCTCTACACATGCATGAACAACCAGAAATAATGATTTTTAAAGAAATGCAGCAGATGTGAAATTGAATCATATTACTATTAGTCAAGTAAGAAGAGCCCATCCAAACAGTACTCTCTAACTATACTAGTATAGCAATTCTTCATCATGCCCCTACAAAAACCTTACTTCTATTAAGAGTTATGTTTGAATGTAAAAAGATTAGATTTCCTTTTTTAAGGGAAAGAACAAGAGTTGGCAAAAGAATGATACATTTGTTCTTTTATAATTCAATGGACATTTTTCCCAAGCACAACTTTACTTGCATTCATTTATATTTTCCAAAATTAACCCTAACTTATATAGTGTCAGTGTTTAAAAAATAGAGTTATGTTTAACTTCCACGTGGCTTTGAACTATTTCAACATCCTAACACATCTATAGCCATGACTCTGTGTAAAAGTAATTCTTTCAGGTTAATGGTGACGGGGAGATACAAACTTTATGATAGAGGAGTAAGAGTGGCAGATGAGAATTTCAGAGGCGAAGTCAAATTTCGATTTGAAAAAGACAGTAGGTGATTATGAGACTTTCTCCAAATGGAGAATCCACTGCTTTAGATTTGGCTTTATTTCTCTTAATAAACCAAAATACAGAGAGACAAAGAAATAGATTTAAATACACCTGGTATATGCCTATGCCCTGCTTTGCAAATGTTCTATAGTTTGACGCCATCCACAACACTCATGCAGGGTGTGATACACCGTCTGTGACAGGCTAAATGCTGAAACTGAGATTTTTAACCACTAATGTGTTATGTGGATATTGTTTCAGTGTATTATCATTAAAAGCAAATGTACACATGTCTCTTCAAAAGCAGACAAAGATATGTCGATGTATGATGAATTCCTTTGTGGATTAAGGGCACAGACTTTGTTATTAACTTTTGTAATGGCCCGAAGGGACCCCAAAAATGTTTGTATTGACTCAGCACTCCTGGTTAACAAAATGATATGGAACGCAGCCTTCACATTCCCTAACACGGCAAGGCTGCTTTCTTCATCCTGTGCACATACACACGTTACCTAAATCATCTTTGCAGATGTGTGTGTGAACCAGAGGTGTCTGTGCTCTATCTGCCTGTGAAGGGCAATAACAAAATGTTACAACCCATCTAGCAATAAACTATGCATCCTTTCTCCAAGTCTTTGCTTACATTTTATTTGCAACATTTCACCTCCTCTATAAATTTTATTTCATAGTCTTTAGTAATTTCTGGCAACATAAGTAGATACCCAGATGGTATCTCTTTTCTCCATAAGCAAGAAATAATGCCTCAATATAAATTCCAATCCCACCTTTTTATGATTTAGATTCTAAATTTTAGAAAGCAGCAACACACACAAATATTGAGACAATACCTTTAGGTGAAAGAGATAGCAAAATTTAGGATAAGAAAGCACTATGTGATGTTAACAATTCAACAGTGACAGAATAAAACGATACCTGATGACACAGGCGTAAAGACCACTGTCCTGCAGTAACGTTGGCCGGAACCAAATGGAGTCCTCTTCCTTGCTCATTCTGCTTCCATCAAAGGCTATTGGCTCTTCAAAGTCTCCGGGGCCAGAGCTTTTGTACCACATCAAACTGAGTCCAGCACTTTGGGCTAGGGAGTAATTGGCTCGGATATAACCATAGAAGAGTGCACATTTGATTCGAACAGGCTCTCCCACCAAAACTTGATATTTCTTTATATCGACAGACCAATCTGTGCATCCATCAGCTATAATTCAAATAGAGAGAAAGAGAGAGAGAAAATATTATAAAAAATGGAAGCAATTAGTTCATTCATTCATTTATTCATTCAACAATATTTATCGAGCATCTATATTGGACAAGATTCTTCTCCAGGCACAGAGAGCGCAGCAGTGGATAAAACTCAGAAGGGCACTGAATAGGAATCTACATTGCTAACAATATATTCATCACTTCCTTTTCTTCTGCTGCTACTTATTCTTGGTTTATATCAGTGTGATGGTTATTGGTGTACTGCCTTTCCACCTTAAATCCACCTGTTTGCCTGTTCTTCGAAAATAGGTCTGGACTTTTGAAATAGTTTTCCTTTGCTAGCTGGCCCTGAAGATTTGTCAGTAAAGGGTGCTGGAGAGAGAGTGCAAAGGGAAAGGTTTTGCTCCCTGGTTCCAGTATGCTTGCTTGGAAGGCCCTTCTCCAGCATTTGGATCCCGCAGTGGGTACTTCTCCAGTACCCCAGTTCTGCAGTGCATGGGAATAGCTTGGGAATTTTTTAGCAGAACTTCAGGTAAGACACCTTCCTATGAACAGCTTTACCAGCTACCTTAGGAGGGCAAGTCTCTGTCAAATTGCAAAGGGGAGACATTCAACAAAATCTACCAGTGTGGTACCTCAGTGGCTTGTGACCTTCAATAAGCCAGGTACTTCCCAAATGAGGTTTGGGTCTCACTCTGGGAATGGGAGGATGGTAGCTCTTCCTCAGGTGCTCCATCTCAGTTAGGGGTAATGGCAGCCATTCCTCTATTCTTTAGACTTATCTTTTGCTATGGACTGAATGATTGTATCCTCCTAAAATTTCTATGTTGAAGCCTTAATCCTAAAAGTAATGGTGTTTGGAGGAGGGGGCCTTTGGGAGATAATTAGGTTTGTATGAGGTCATGAGGACAGAACCCTCATGAAGAGAGTAGTGCTCTTGTAAGAAGAGACACCAGAGCTTGCAATCTCTCTCTCTCCTTCCGCATGCTGACAAAGAAAAGGCCATGTGAGCACACAGTGAGAAGGTGGCCATCTGTAAGCCAAGAAGAGGGCCCTCCCCAGAAACCAAATCAGCCAGCACCTTGATCTTGGACTTCTCAGTCTCTAGAACTGTCAGTAATACATTTCTGCTGTGTAAGCCACCCAGTTTATGGTATTTTGTTATGTCAGCTGAGCAGACTAATACATCTTTCTTACTAGTCAATCCTTCATTAATCCAATACCCCATTACATCTTTAAAATATTTATATAAACTTTCCTTGGTCAAATTAGCATGTATTTTCCTCCCTGGCTGGACCTACACTGATAAAATGAAGAATAAGTATTGTACAGCCAAAGAAGGCAGACAGAAATAAAACAAAAGGGGGTCACGCTCTTGCAGTGGTTTCACAGCCAGAGATAGAGGCAGATGGTTACTTCGCTCTGATTTCTAGGAGCATCAGGGTCAAATGTAAAGTAGAAACCATGGAGGGAAATGGGACTGATCGGGTGGGGACTGGCTGGGTTTTCTGGGTTTCCTGGAAGAATCATCTTCCAAATGGCATCTTGGCACCATTTTTATTACCTCATTCCTCTGTGCATTAGCATATGTACACGCACACATATAAACACAGACAAAATGACAGGTCATCACAGAGCACATACATCACTATTATTATTATCATGGATAAGTTGGGGATTTCCTGCTGAGAGAGGGCAGCTGCCCAACACCTAGCAAGATAATCAGTATGACACAGTTCCCAGTACATAAGTGCTGAGCAAAAGGGCAAAAACCAAGAAAAGAGGACCTCTAAAAGCTGTAGCATCTGAGTACTGCAAGCAGGGTTTAACTCACTAGAGATTAAAAAGAAGGCAACCTGAAAGATCTGAGAACAGGAAAAATAATGTAGAATTCAAAAGAAGGTAAACGATCAACGTGAAAAAGAAGATAAATATTAGAGAGAAAATGAAACATAATTTATGGAATTAGCTAAATTTCTTACCTTAAAATAATATCTAACATCTGATGAGGACTTAACTCTGTGCTGAGTTTACAAATCTTCATTTACCTTTCACAAAAACATCCATATAGGCTTTGACCATTGTCCCTTCTACACAGGACCATTCTCACCAACAACTGCATGCCCCTCTTCCTCCCTTCCTCCAAATGTCACCTCCTCCAAGAGTCCTTTTCTAACTGCCCTGCCTGAAACATCACCATCCTATCCTAGTCACTTGATCCAGATTCTTCTTTAACATTTTTCACAGGACTTGCTGCTGTCTGATGTGACATTATGCACCCACTTTTTATTTGCTTTCTGTCTCCCTAACAGAATGTATGCCTCTTAAGGTCAGGAACTTGGTCTCTCTAATTCACTTCTTCAGCCCCAGTGCCTAGAACTGTGCTTGCTAAGCACCTCAACACACATCTACTGAACGAACAAATGAATGAAAGAATGAATTCTTGGGTAAATAAACAAATTAATGGCTAAACTTTACAACTGAAGAAACTCAACACCAGCTAACATGTGGAAGTGCTGGCACTCTCAGCCAGCTACATCTGACCCTAGAATCTATTCTCCCTACCACCAGAGTAATCTGTTTCCTAAGTAATTGAAATCTTCCTATTAAAGAACCTTGTTGACGTACTGCCTAGAGTAAGTATGCTGGAAGCTTGGTGGACATCATCCATGTCTGAGTTACTACCACCATCCCTGTCAATGACTGCTGCAGGGATGGCACACCACACTAGAATGACAGAACTGTACACAAACAGAGATGTCAAGGTTATGTAATGATATGCAGTATTTATCAACACAACTTTGTACACTTGTCCTATCTCATGAAGTGAATCCTTGGTGGGATTTTATTTCAAACAGTTATAGTTCTGGTGATAAGCAGGAAATTATCTTGTTTCACCACTATATGAATTACAATACAATTCTAGAATTACGTTATTATAACTGAGATCATCTGTCATAGAGGATATCACTTTCAGTGCAAAAGGTTGAAACAACCTTCAAGGTAGCAGTATAAACAGTTAGATGAAATTATTCAAACTCTCAAAAGATTTGTAAGGTAAAGCAAAATGCTTGAAGCTAAAAGCAGAAATATTTAGCCTAGGAATTTCTAAAAAGTTACTAACAAATTAGATCAAGAGAACAGAAGGATAGTTGTGTTGGGGGCAGATAGAGATATTAATGCACACTTTTAGAATATTCTTACTGAGAATAATGTGGAAAGAAAACCACAAATATTACTGAAAATTAGAGTTATTTAGTACTTAACTATCAATCGAGGAAAAAAGTTTCAAACCGCTCTGAGTCACATGCCAAGCAAAAGGTAGTGGTGAAATGAAGAAATAACAGCACCTTGGATATCAGAGACACTTTATGTTCATTTTAATACGGAAATAAGGTGTAGGATCTGTGAGTTAGGAAGTTTTATTACCATTAAACTAAATGTATGATATTCAAAAATAACTATAAAATTATTAACATGTTAATACTTTTGGGGGAAAAGGTGGTAAATAATATAAAGAACAATTTAAGATATTTTCCAATTATTTTGATAAACATATTTAAATAAATAATGGATTTAAATCCTTTTTCAATAATTAAAGCGTTGGACTGAATGAAATAAGGAGTGATACTTTTTCCTTTTTTAACATTTTGCTTCATTTGCACACACTCTCACTCTGAGTGTATCACATTTTTTTCCTAAACCATTTGAAAAGAAATTAAAATGGAGACATAATGACACTTCACTCCTAAAATGTGTATCCTAAAGTCTGTATCTCTTTATAAAAAAGGACATTTTCCTAATATAACCAGAATGTTGTTATTGTTGTTTAATCTTGTTGAGCAGGACAACTCAGATTTTAAAAGAAAATGTGATAACTTAAAGCCTAACTCTTACTGGGGAGGGGGTGGGAAGGGATAAACTGGGAATTCAAGACTTGCAGATACTGACTAGTATATATAAAATAGATAAACAAGTTTATACTGCATAGCACAGGGAACTGCATTCAATATCTTGTAGTAGATCACGGTGAAAAAGAATATGAAAAGGAATATATGTATATTCATGTATGACTGAAGCACTGTGCTGTACACCAGAAACTGACACAACATCGTAAACTGACTATACCTCAATAAAAAAAAACCCTAAATCTTGATGACCAGAATTGCTATTGACATGTTTAGTTTTTTCTTACTTCAGAATACAAGCTATGCTGGCTTGAAAACAGTCATTCCAAACCAACATATTTCATATTTTTAGACACTGCTAATTACACTATATAAGTTATCAGGTAATAACCTTTATTATTTTTTAATTATCATTGAGTAATTTATATAGGACAACAGTATTTAATCAGTTTTTCTGTCTGAGAATAAAATACCCTTCCATAAGCCCCTCTCAAAAAGGTGAGTGACTGAACACAAGCATCTAGGGAGAAGAATGATGTTAGTTTACTCTGCAACTTGTACCTTTTGTCATAGACTGAAATATCTTTCCCCAGCAACAACAACAAAAATCAACCATTCCTGTTAAGTGGCAGGGTCTTGGAAACGTTTTTATGTTTTCACTTAAAAATTTTAGGCAGTGAAAATATAGTGAATTCTTAACTAGCTCACAGACCTAAAATGTATGCATTTACATATTCATATTCATACTCTTTTCAAAACTTGCAAAGGTTAAAAATAAATATCTGGTATATTGGCATCATTGGTCTCTACCCCTAGCGTGCTTGGAAAAGGCGAACTTGATACATGATGGAGGTTAGGGACTGTAGGCCATGTATATTAGCTATCACAGACAGGGAACAAAAAGGCTGAGGCTAGATTCTAATGAGGTGAATTCTGCTCTTTATCTGCACTAGCTGCTATTCTTTCCAAATAGGAACTTCATAAATGAAAATTGGCAGTGCTGGAATCCTTCTAAGGAGGATACAGAGATGTACCAAAGTTATCCGCAACAACGAGAACAGCAAAATAAGACATAAATTAACCTTTA